CATTCCCCCATCCAGAAACGCCCTGTTTTACCATGTGCCAAGAATTAACGTGCAGGCCTCTCCTAAGGCCTCTCCTAAGCAGTGACTGATCTGGATGATGTAGGAGACAGAGTCTTGGATCTAATTGTTTCTTATGCAGATTTTTTTAAATCCTCACCTGAGGACATTTTTGCATTGCTTTTGAGAGAGAGAGGAAGAGAGAAAGACATCGAGGTGAAGGAAAAGTGCCAATCGGCTGGGTCCTGTTTGTGCCCCAGCCAGGGATCAAACCCACAACCCTTCGCTTACAGGGCAGCACTCCAGCCAACAGAGCCACGCCAGCCAGGGCTCTTACCCAGATCTTTGAGGAGCCTTTCTGTTTTAGCGTCATCATCATTCCTACTTCTGGAAATACCCTTGCCTTTTGAGGATTTAATGTAGTTTGCGCCGTGGCTTTCTTCAGTGCTGCCTTCCGATTGATCCAGCTTTTGAAGTTGTCTTATTCAGCTACCACCCGTCACTCTGCTTTTTCAAGTTCTCACATTGTACTGGGTTTGGGTTTTTTTTTCCTGTTTGCTTTGTCCCTGTGGTGTGTGTTTTTTTATTTTTGTTAAATTTAATGTTTTTTGGGGGGGAGATTTCAGAAGGGAGCAAAGGCCAATGCGTGACGTGAGCTGCCATCCTCCACTAGAAATTCCCCCGCCTCACAGTTGCCCCTGTGCCGCCCCTCCCCAGTCACAGGTCCCCGTGGTCTAGATATTGTCCCCCAGTCTGGTGACTGGGCTCTACTGCACCGCTTCATCTGGGGCTTCCAGGACGGGTTGACTCTCTGCCTGAATCCAATAGAGTTGATTGCCCACCCAGACGATTGCTGGCAGCACCTCCCCTCTGCCAGCCCTGCCTGGCGGGTAAGCCTCAGGTGGAGGGGTAGGATATTAGAAAGACCAGGGTTTTTCCTCTTCTGCCTTCCTCTGCTCTGTATTGCTGTGAAGTGATCACCAGGCTGTCTTGCGCAGTGGTGGCCAGATGGGCTATCAGAGTGGCCCGGCTTGTGTGGACAGCAGGCTGGTGACTCAGTCAAGGCTTTGTTGGGGTGGTTTCACAGGTCTGATGTTTAGATTTTAATGAATCTGTATAGGGTTTATCCATTTGTCCTTTGTGGCTGATGTTAGAAAACTAAGGTAAATCAGAATCGTAACACACTAGTCATCTTACAAAATGCTTATTTATTGATTTATAATGTGCTGTATCTCTCCAATTATTGGATCCTTTATATCTGCGATGCAGGGTATTCTTCTCGGGTATCGCACCAGAGGGAAAGCTTGCAGTTACCACATGTCTTCTGTACATCAGGGCACACTATTTACATTTTCATACATTATTTCCAGTTAATCTGCACTCTAACCCTGGGGAGGTGTTATCCCCATTTTACATGTGAGGAAACCAGTTGTTCAGAGAAGCTGAGTAAATTTCTCAAGCTTACAAACCTGTGAGAGACTCAGAACCTCCTGGCTGCAGCACGTAACAGACCTCCTTCCACACTGAGCTGGACGACCACAGAATGTGGCAGAGATGAGATGGTCTCACAAGGTTCAGGTCACAGCAGAGCTCAGCAGTCAGGAAAGGCCACTCCAGTGACCTTTGATCTGAGTTCTGAAAGAAGTGTGTGGACAGGTGGCCCTGAGGGGAGCGCCTGGGCGAGTCTGGGGAACCACAAGGCTACAGCCCGGGAGCGTGGGTGGGCCCGAGGAGCCCCGCAGAGACTGCACAGAGGAGACTGGGGCGAGGTGGTGGGCCCACAGCCCAGGGCTCCGCGTGCTAGGCTCAGGCTGCTCTGTAGGGGAGGCAGGGAGGCGATCAAAAACCCCAGAATTTTTTATCTTCATATTACACTCCAGGATGTTCCAGTCCCTCAAACTACCTGGAGACTTTTTTCCAACATGGCTGACTTCCTTGTGTTGGTAATTTCCTGCAGAAGGTTTGTTGACTGGGCTATCACTGTTTTTCTTACAATGCTATGCTATATGTGAAGTCTTGGAGTCTGACCAGTCACTGGTGGTTAAAAATTTGAAGACTAGTAGACCGATGGTTCCCCAACTTGAATGCCTGCTGGAATCACCTAGAGAGGTTATTAAAAATACAGAGGCTTGCCCTGGCTTAAGTGGCTCAGTGGGTTGAGTGCCAGCCTGCAAACCGAGGGATCACCGGTCCAATTCCCAGCCAAGGCACATGTTTGGGTTGCAGGCCAGGTCCTTGGTTGGAGACACACCAGAGGCAACCACACATTGATGTTTCCCTCACATATCGATGTTTCTCTCACCCTCATTCTCCCTCCCTTCCCCTCTCTCTAAAAAATAAATAAAATCTTAAAGAAAAAATACAGAAGTTTGCTCTGAATGGTGTGGCTCAGTTAGTTGAAGGTCGCAAAACGAAAGGTCACCGGCTCAGTTCCCCGTCAGGGCACCAGCCTGGGCGCATGCCCTGGGCCTGGCTGGGGCGTGTGCAAACGGCAGCTGATCGGCATTGTTCCTGCACATCGATGTGTCACTCCCTTTCCCTCCCCATCCCTTCCCTGTCTCTAAAACTGAAATCTCAAAAAAAAAAAAAAAAAAAAAAAAATACAGAAGCTTGAGGCCCAACCTAACCACTAAATCATACAAGCTCCAGCTGGCCTGACCACTTCTCAGAAGGCCAATGCTCTGGGACAGGGTTGGTGGGAGGCCATACAATGTCAGACAAGTTGGCTGAAGGCAGCAAAAGCCCTGAGCAAGGCCCCTGTTTCTGCCTCATGGTGGAGACTCCAGCCGCGCAGGGAGCGGGTGTGCTCGCCTCCCTCTTTCATAAAGACCGTACTCACTGGTTGAATCAATGACCTAGTGCTATTTCTATAAAGCGCTGTGGCCCTTGTCCTCAAGAAGCTGATTAACAATGCATTTCATCCATCTAAAACGCATGTCTTTTCACATTTTTACATCTCAGAAATGGCGTTATGCATAAAAATTGATTGTATCTGAGCTTTGGTATAATGCAGTTGAGAGTTTTTCTTTATATGGTGTGTAAAATAATGGTGCTACTTAATGCCAATGGTATCTTCAAATTGATGAAATACAGTAGTTGAGAAAGGAACAACATATTTGTACAACCGGGTAGCTGACAAGAGTTTTTCCATGCTGTTCCCTCTACATGGACAATTCGCATCTCTGCTTCACCAGAGCTACTAATCTGTTACAACTTAATTCAAGGGCCACTTCCTCCAGGAAGGCTTCTGTGTCACCCCAGGCCCACCACCCAATTTGTAGTCCAAATCTTCCCTCTGGCCACCTGTACTGACCACTGACCTATACTTATCATGTGGTTGCTTTTATCCTGTAATTGGTCCATGCCTCCCCCAACTAGATTGTGGGGTCCTGAAAACAAAGATACAGTCATACACCTCTGTGTTTCTAGCACCTAGCACAGAGCATGGGATGCAGTAGAAGTTCAATAAATGTTTGTTGAGTGAATGAATGAAAAAAGAGTGAATAGTTACAGGCAACAGATGATCTGTCTCATGTAATACCGTAGGGTTTCAGGAGAAAGGCGGGGCTCCGGGCTGGAGAGGCCGAGGGTGGCTTCAGGAAGGGAAGGGGATGGAGGCCATTCTGGCCGGACGGCTGATGGAATGGCTCAGGACTGAAATGAGGAATGAGGGGGGGCAGTGCTCAGTCCCTCACCCCTCCTACTGGGTAGATCTCAGGATGACTCTTACTTGGCTGGGTTTTGGGTGTGAATTTCTGGAGGCTGTGGGGTTTCACTCTTCATTATCCTTCCTAATTAACCCTGGGTGCTAAGGAATGAGCAGCTCAACCCCCACTGAGCTCTCACAGGAAGTCCCATATATACACACATACTTTGTGGTTTAGACCTCAGAGCTTCCTGCCAGAGCCTGATAAGATTTAGCAAGTGTAAGAGGCCAGGAGAAGGCGGCAGATGGGACCACAACCATGGCATTGACATTTCAAAGCAGGTGCCTTCTTACCACCTAGTTTTTAGAACCTTAACTGAAAACTGTTTTGTTTTCCCCACTTCCCCCAAAGTATCTCTAGCATGACTCTAACTGGGGATGGGGCTGACCTTTTAGTAATGGTCATTGAAGACACTTGGGATTTAGTTCAATCGAGCTATCTCTTAGCTTGCCCTTTTAAAAATTATTTATTTTTATTGTATTTTTTCCATTACCATTACCGCCCTTACACCCCCTCCCCCCATCACCATAACTGTTGTCCATGTCCACGAGTCCTTTCTCCTTTTTGCTCCATCCCTCCACCCCTAATCACTCCCCACCCCCAAGAGCCGTCAGCCTAGCCGGCCCTTTTGTATGTCATCTGATAGGCTCACGGCACATCCAGTATTCATGGATTCCTCTGTTTTCCAAGATGACTCTATAGAACATGGTGACCGTGTCTAAACAGTTAAGGAAGCAAGACTCAAAGATTTATGTTTTCTGGTGCCTCTTGTTGAAGTTTATACACAGAGGTTTCAACTCATTATACAGATCTACAAGTAGGGTGTCAGGCCAGCTTTCCAGCTGAGGCCTGGGGAGTGTGCTCAGGTTGTTCTGGTGGGGAAAGGGGGCCCAGGGGAACTGGGACCAAATTTGGTCCTGCTGCCACACCAACCAGCCCCTTTTTTTTGCAGCAGCTTGATGCTGGGCTCCGTTCTATGATGAGTAGACACGGGGATCAAGTCAAAGCTTTTATTTCACATCTACTCCCGGCGCTGTGGGCAAGTGTCCACCAGGAGCATAAGAAACCCAAGAGTCTCTCGAACAGGCAGACGGCTTGTAGCGAGACACAGGCACAGCGAACGCCACATGTTGCACAGAGAGGCGAGGAGAGCTCTGGGGTTTTGTGCTCAGTCCCCCATCATCCCAGTGATTGCACTTCTATTGCCTCTCCCTTCCTAGTGCAGTGGAGCTTTAGGAGGAGGCCAGAGACTCCAGCTGTTAGGTCACGTGAGATAGGTGTGCAGCTGTGGTTGTGGCCCATGAGCTTGGGAGGTGATGATGTCCGCCTTGTAGGACACAGTTGATGGAGATGCAGGCATCCACACCAGAGTGCAGGAATCCTGCAGTGCCTTCCTGGGAAGGACAGTTTTCATCTCTTAATTAGGGACAGTTTTGATCTCTTTTAATCTCTTTTAATGGCTCTGCCAGAAGACAGTTACGAGTTTTCTGCAGCCCCACGGGGAGGTTTCGGTTGGACTCGAGGCTTGGGGAGAGGAGGGCCTTTCTGCTGGCGAGCTTGTGTGCTAGGGCGGGGGAGAGGCCTCTTCTGCTGCTGGTGCTGGTGAGGGGGCTGGGCACGGTGGCCAGGAGGCTGGGGACGATGACCGTGTGCCTTGGGATGATGACTTGGTAGTGGAGGAGGTTGGGGGCTGGCTGGATTTTGAAGAGCTGAGGCTGGCATTTGAAGGGGCTTCTGGCTCCTTTCCTCAGAGGTCATTTTGTGTACTCTGATTTCCGGTTCCTCATCTGCAACAATAAAACCTATAAAGAGTTCATCTGGGCAAGATAGGATCAATGCAACTATTTATTGAGTGTAATTCCTATGTACAAGGCACCATGCTGGCTGCTTTCGGGGATGCGTTGAGAGGGTACAAGCTGCCCCTCCCCTCTAACGGTTCCCAGTCTTGTAGGGGAGACAGAGAGGCCCACCAGCAAGGTGGAATGAGAGCCTGGGGCTTTGAGAACTCCAGGAGCCAGAAGCAAGGAGGCAGGTGGGGGCCTTTGTGCCTGGGTCTCCTGGGAACAGAGAGGGCCCTCAGACCCTGCAGCCCCGCCGCTGTGCCACCCTAGCGACGGTGCTGAGAGAGCCTTGTGGTTAGAGCCCCTGCCAGAGGCTCTGAGTAGGCAGAGAGGACATCAGCCGAGACCTTCCTTCACGTGGCTTTTTTTGTTAGATCTACCTTTCACCCAGTTTGACTCCTACACAACCCACGTTCTGGCGAGGGTTGGAGAATACACAAGGGGTTTTTATTCCTTAGAAACTTACTAGTTTCTCAGAAATTCAGAAGTAAGTCCCATCCTCTTACGCTTAGGAGGACAAGAATCCCTCCCCTGGGCGCCCCTCTGGGATTTTGTGCTTTGTGTGACTGTCACCCATGAAGACAGGCCCACGACTCACAGCAATGTCACTTTTCCTATGCTGTTTTAAAATCACACAGAACATGTGTGAGATGCTCAGCTACTCGAGGTCTGGAGGTCTCCACTGGTCCCTCCGGCCTCCTTCGGGCCACCAGCTTGGTGCCCCAGGCCCTGTGCCCAAGGCCATCCCTGCAGCATGCTTCCCAGGAGGGGAGGAAGAAGACATTCTCCCTGGGTGACATCACTGCAGGGCTCAGCAGGCCCAGGCCCCCAAGACTGAGCATCACCCTGTAACTTTGGGCGGTAATGCCAGTCCGGAGGCTTCTTCCCCGTGTGGGGAGCCCAGGCCTCAGGCAGCTTCCAACGTGAAGACTTAAGGCAGCAATGTGGTTTGGACATGTGAGAGGCCAGTGTGCTCTAAGCACACAAAGAAAAGGGCACAGGAAGGGAAAGACGCATCCGCTGTGCCAATCCTTGCTGCCCCAAGGTCATGCTCAGGAGGCTGTCAGACAGAGGACTGTGACCTCTGACCCCACTGCTAGCTGTGGGACAGTGGGGACCCATTTTCCTCCCTTATGTGCCTGACTTGGGCTGGCCATCTGTTCACCAGTCTGTTCACTGCACTGCAGTTGCTCCTTCTTTGTTCATTTGTTCTTTGAAAATTTATTCCCCTCCCTCTAGGTGTTAGGTGCCATTGGTAAGTGGCAACGGCGGCCCAGGTACAACACTGTCCTCAGGAAGCCAAAAATCAATTAAGTGGGACCGCAAATCACAATGTCAGTCTTTAGTGAGAGCCCGGGCCCCCAGAGGGATGCAGACCAAGGGCCCCATGAGTCCGAGAGGAGAGGTGGGATGTGGCCAAGCACCCGAGGCCTCTGGCCGGCTTGGACACAGTAGGCCCGCTATGGCTCTGCGCGGCCGCTCGGTCAGAGCAAGGCTGCGGCCCCAGCGTGCCCACGCCCGAGCAGCAGGCCCTGCCCTGCGTCTGCTCTGGGGGCTCCTCCAGGCCGAGTGTCCTCCTACAAGGCATCTCCCAGTTACTCGCCCAGGAAGGCTCCCCTCCCAGCGCCTGTGGAGACACTGGTGTGCCATTAGGGCTGTCCCCCCTTGTCTACAGTTACACTTTCTGTGGTTTCAGTGGCCTGCAGCCAACTGCAGTGCAAAAATATTAAGTGGAAAATTCTAGAAATAAACAATGTATGTTTTAAATTGCACTCTGTTCTGAAGAACATGGTGAAATCTGCTGTCCTGTCCAGATGTGAATCATCCCTTTGTCTGATGTATTCATGCCATATATGCTCTCTACCTATTAATAGTCACTTAGTAGCCACCTAGTTATCAGCTCAACTGTGGAGGCCTCACAGCGCTTGTGTTCAAATCAGCCTCATTTTTCTTAATGATGGGCCCAAAGCTATTCGCATAGCTTTCATTGCAGTATATTGTTATAGTGTTTCTATGTTGTTGTTAGTTATTGTCGCTAATCTCCTACAGTGCCTAAAGCTCTCAACTTAGTATAAGGATGTATTGGTAGGAGAAACATAGTATATACAGGGTTCAGTACTATCCGTGGCTTCAGGCATCCATCCACTGGGGGTGTTGGAACATATTCCCTGCAGATAAGGGGGGCTGCTGCATCTGAACTCACTGTCCCTCGTGGCCCAGGTGCTCCTTGAGCCAGCTCCCTACTTGTGAGCATGATTTTTTTTTATTCTTGGTGGGTCATCCAACAGGTGTGATTCAAGGAAGAAACACTCAGAGCCCTAACACATCCCCTCTGAACAGCAAATTAGAAAAGGAGGTCAAAACACCTGGTTTTAGAACAAGGGGCTTGGCCACCCCCACAGAAGAGGCCACGATGTTTGTTCACAGAAATGGAGTTTCGAAGCCAACCTTTTTACCCACGTAGAGCTGTGTGGTTTATTCAAGACGCACCCACACAGCCTTACGCGGGGTCGGCCTCAGGTGGTGGATTCCAGTGGGGCCAACGTGGACGCAGCCTCCTGAAGCCCCCACTTGCCGCCACTGAGAATTTCTTTTTCAGAAATCAAGCGAACCACAAAACGGAACAGACTGCGACTGCCAGTTGCAGCCCTGACGTTCTGAAACCACCTGTCTCCATCACTGGCCTGCCAGACTCCAGGGCATCCCTGAGAGTTGTTTCCACGGCGATTTTGCCCAGACTGCAGCGGGACAGAGCAGGGGGCTTACCATTTCTCCTTCTGCGTGCTCTTCTCCTCTTGCTGATGTAGAGAGTGAGTAGTGCCACGAAGAGCAAGAAGAGAATGCCTCCTCCACAGATGCCAATGATGAGGTAGATATCCAGACCTTTCTCTGCAAGACAAAGAGCGGCAACATGGCCGGGAGGGTCCTGGGCCGAGGGGTCATCACCACTCTGGCCAAGGGCTCCTGCCTCCCGTGTTAAGAAGATAATATTGCTTAATAAATGGGGCCCTTTAACCTCATGAAGGCCAAGCGTAGGGAGGGAGGTGGGTTCTCGATCCCCCGAAAGGGCTCAGGGTCCGGGACCAGGCCCCTCAGGAGCTTCCTTGAGGAGCTGACCCCCAGCCCCGGACTACAATGCCTGATCCTTCATGTGCGTTGGATGATACCATCTGCGGCGCCAGTACAGAAGACTGTCACAGCAGTTCAGCTCTGAGAAGGAGTTGAGAGACACAGTCGTATCACCTCCTGTTTTACAGGCAAGGCACAGAGGGGGAGGATGAGTAGCTGGAGGCCACAGGATCCACTGGGCTGTGCGGCTCCTCAAGCAGCATCCTCGCCTCAGGACTTCTGCACTGTTTCCGCAGCTTCCTGTCTGGCTGCCCTCTTACACTGCCTTGCTTTCCCCTCACTCTCTTGACAAGGCCTTGTCCAAACATTAATGGTCAATGTGTTGGTCCGGCCCAGCCCTCGACCGCACAGCCAGCACTCCCCACTGAGTCAGCAGCGGCAGTGGACTTGACCTTCAGCTCCCAGACGGCCTTCAGCTGCCGCAAAGCAGCAAGAATCACAACGCAACTTGCAACTCGGTGTTCCAGGCTCCTCTAGGCAAGAGCTACTGTATTTTGCCATGTATAATGAGCGCCAGCATTTTTGGCCCAAACTTGCAGGAAAAAAAATTTTTGCTTAAAGTTTTTAATTCAATTTTTAATTTATATTTAGATACTTGTATTTTGTGTTATAAGGGAATTTTAGCACTTATTTTTGAACACACAGATATCATTATTGCTTTCTAGAGTTATACTTTTAACACATAAATATAAATAAAAGAATTAAAAACATGTCTATAGATACAGAATTAGTACTACCCGTGTATAACGTGCACCCTTATTTTTCCCTCAAAAATTTGGGCAAAAAAAAAAATGTGTATTATACACAGCAAAATACGGTATGTGACCTTTGGCAAGTTGCTCCGCCTCTCAGAGCCTATTCCTGTCTTTGTAAAATGGAGATAATGAAACTTACCCCACTGCACGGGGGCTGCTGGAAGTCAATCAGATAATAGATGTGAAAGTACTTTGTAAACTGTAAAACAATACACAAAGGTGAAGAGGTCCTGTTCTGAGAAGAGCTCTGAGCACTGGTGTTTCTGGGAGCTGCATCGGGGGAGGGCTGCTGGGCCATCTGCCTTGTGTGGATCAATGACAGCTAGAGAGGCAGCAGCTGGCGTTAGGGGCCGGGGAACATAGGCATCTGGGGAACACACCAGAGCTCAGCCCATTTTCGCCAGAAAACCCTTCTCTAGCCTAACATTCCTAGGAAGGTACGAGCTCTTATACACAGAGCCCAGGATGGGCTCCAGGAGCAAGCTAGAGGCCCGGAAACCAACCCAGCAGCCTGCAGTGATGTGCCAATCCTTGCTTGCTTCTTCGATTTTCTCTGACCTATTCTTTGCCTGCCAATTGGACAAGCCCTCTGGTCTGTGGAAGAAGGGGTTTCCTTTCCCAAAGCAGGAATAATCCTAAACTGCTGTGAATCGGGCCCAGGAAAGTATCTGGGGTTCTCGGGGATCTGCTGGTTGGGAGGCAAGGCCAGGGCGCTGGAGTCTCCGTCAGGCTGAGTGCAGAGCTGCGCAGGCCCTGACCTGGGCAGGCCGGGTCAGGCCTGGAGCTGTCTGGGGGCATGGGGCTCAGCCGTGCGGCCGCCAGCTCGTCTTCTCTGAGTCCGCACACGGGGCAGCCACGCCTCATCTTGGGCACGCTTACAAAGCACAGAATAAGCCAAAGGTTTGTCCAGTACAGCCCCCTGGGGTGCCCAGGTCTGCTCTCCGTGGGGGACATTCCAGAGGTATTCAAAACTACGAGCTCACAGTGTCTAAAGCCAACCACCCTCCTCCCCACACTCCTTGGAGAACGTGCCCAGAAGTTCAGGTGGTGGGTCCTCCGACCTGTGTTCTGGTTTTCGAAGCCAAATGATTAGTCTTATCATCACTCCTCTCTGCCTTGGCCTTTCGGGAGGAAATACTCAGATCCTTTCCAGAGCCTTCAAGAGCAGCCTATGTCTCCCAGTTCCCCTCGCCATTCCCCCCAAGTATTCCTCCCTTCTCTTTGTGGCTCTTCCCAGGTCGGCTCCTGCTCTGCACCGCAGAGTGAGGGGCACCTCAGCTTCCCTCAGGACCATCCCCCATCCTTAATGCACACACATTTGTATACTGGTGGGATCTAGTCTAAAAAATAGATACATAGATGGGATAGGGTTGTCAGATAAAATACAGGATACCCAAGGAAAGTTTAATCAAGCAATAAATAATTTTTAGTGTAAGTATATCCCATGCAACATTTGGAACATATTTATGCTGTCTTTTGATTTGCTAAATCTGGCAACTAATCAAGGGCCTCCAGAAAGGGGGAAGAGGGCTGGGAAGTCACGGAGGGGCCCCTCGATTCACTGGGCTGTGGCGATGGGGCTGTGCTGGTGAGCGGGCACGTCGGATGGGACGACGCTGGTAGAAGCGCGTGGCCGGCAGACTCTTGGATGGCCCCGCCTGCTCGCGCGCTGCCTTAGCGTCCTCCCCTCCGCTGGAATATGGCCAGACTTACTTCTAGTTGCTAGAATACAACAAAAGTGCTGGGAAACCTATCACTCCTGAGGTTGTTACAAAATGTTCAATGCTTTTGTTTTGAGCCCTTGTCCTTGCTCTTGCTGAAACTGCTCCCAGGGACACTGGCTGCCATACTGTGAAGCAGCCCAAAGGCCCACGTGAGTGAGCTTGGCCGTGGACCCCTCAGAGAGCCTGGACGTGATTGACATGACGTACTGCCAGTGTCCGGATTGTAGCTTCATGAAAGATGCTGAGCCGGGACGACTCCATCACTGCCAGGTTCGTGACTCACAGAACCTGTGAGATCATAAATGCTTGTTGTTGTAAGCCACAAAATGTGGAATAATTTGTTATGCAGCAACAAAAAACTAATTCAAAGAATATATATAAAAAAGCCTTACTCCTGACTTCACACCAGCCCGGGTCTTCTCTGTAGGGTCCCTGATCGGCCACAGTCACTGTAGAAACTTAGGACATCTGGTCGAATAACTATTTTTTGTGCTCAGTTTCCCTTAGTGGGGATTGAGCAGACTGCACTGGGTAGATAATCACAGAGCCTCAAATGAGTAGAGTCTTGGGAATCAGGGGGCTCATTTTCTTTGCGGACCAGGAGGCTGAAGCCCAGAAGGTAAGGAACTCTGTCAAGGACCTCCTGCTGCATTTGGACAGACCCAGAGTAGAAGCCCAGGCCTCTGGCCCTCAGAGCGGAGCACCGCAGCAGACTGCCTCTCAAAACTCACTTCTGGGGGCGATGCCCAGCTGTGGCACCAGGAAAGAGCTTAGACTCTTAGAATTTCAAGACTTCCTGGTGCTGGCACCAACGCCAGGCTGTCTGCCCTCAGGCAGGGGAGCCGTTCCTCACTATATCTGTGGTCTTCCCTGGCCTCACGCTCTTCTTCCCCCAGCCTCCTAACTCCATGTTTTTTCTACAGCCTCTGATAGGAGGTGCTGGCCACCTCCCTTCCAAATAGGAACCTTTTGCTCTCTTCTTCATCATTACCCTGTGAGTCACCATTGTAGTTACTGACTAGCTGGCGGACCTTGGGCAAGTAAGTCTGCCCTCTGGGAAGTGGAGGTTTGCATGAGACAGCCTCTACAGCCTCTTCTATGTCTTCAATTTGGCAATTCTTTCTCCCAAAAGATCTTTATAATAGCCTGAGGTTACATCATGCTTGTCGGGGGATGCCTGAGGTGGGTAACCATAGGACACCGCCCCTTCTCTCCTCTAAGTCTTCTTTTAAAGGTTTCCAAGATGATGGGGAATTTTTACAGTTCTCGCCCCGAGTCAAGGCTGCCTCCCAGCCCAGGCACCTGGACCCTGGAGCAGGTCTCCACCACGGGCCTGGCAGGCAGCATTTGAGAAGTGAACTTGGCACGTCTCACGAGTGCCTGCCACATACCTGAACAACTGAAGTTCACTCTGTTGGTTTCCTCGCTGATTTTGTTAGTTGCCATGCACTCGAATAATGCATTTTGTTTGGCAGGCCACTTGTATATGATGATGTTCTGACCTTCTTTGATACGTTTCCCATCTCGATACAGTGCTAATTTAGGGTCAGTTCCATCTGTTACCTCACAGGTCAGGGTTTTGTTGGTACAACCCCAGAAGATCTCTGGCCTTGACACCCTCTCTGAAAAGAAAATAAAGATCCAATTCATACGAGGCAACTTTCTGATTGTGATTAATAGACATACCTATTTATAGACAGGGAAACAGAGTCCGTTTGAGACCAGGGGACAATTTCAGAGACCCCTAGTGATTTTCAAAAGTCATTCTAATTTTATTTATACAGCACATTCAGAACAAATTTATTTTGATAAAGTTCAGACATACATTATATCAGTTAAAAAAAATCAGATGTTTGAGTGCTGTTTTATACCTTAAAATGCTTTCATATACAAGATACCATTTAATCCTAGCAAGCAGAGACGCCAGCGTTTTTCCTCCTGTTGACATATGAAATGCCCAAGGCTCTGAGAAGCTAAATTGGCTGGGCTCTTACCCAGAGTGTGTTGGCCACTCACTATGCCTTGCTGGCCTTCGTCTGTAAGAGATGGATAACAAAGACATGTCCTACCTGCCGTAACGGGGACAACATGTGACAAAGCCCAGGGCAAAGTGTTAGGCACTGACTTTATGGGTTGCAGTTGGTACATTCATGATCCTAAATTCCTTGCCTCTGCTTTTCTGGCATGAGAATATTCAATTGGCCTGGCCTTGGCGTCACACAGGCCAGGTGCAAATCCTACGCCACCACTTCTAGCTGTGTGACCTCCCACTGCCTCTTCCCTCCTGCTCTTTTTCTCATACTTTACTCTTTCCCCAGACTTGCCACCTTTCTCACCCAGTTTCTCTCCGTTCATTGTGCAGCTGGCCAGCCCATTTTCCCATGATTCCTTCCTTCCCTGACCCCAAGCAACAATGTCTTGTCCACGAAATTTCCTACCAAATACCACTTCTGTCTCAATATATATGCATGCAAAAATTAAGCTTTTTTTCTGCATCTTTGGATTCTGTGTGACCAAGAGAGAGGAGGATGAAGAAACACCGTCATACAATAAGACAGGGTCCATGCATAGTCTACAGGTTGAGTCAAGGCATTTACTTGTCTTTTCAAAATGGAAATATTCTTTTTTCTATTTATAAGAGTAACACCCAGTCATTGTAAAAATGCATTTTAAAGGTTCCAGGGTTAAAAATCACTTGCAATTCTACTATCCAGAGTCAATAATTATTATTGCTTTGAGGTATATCTTTAGCAGATGTTTTCCATGCATTACATACATATATAAATGTTTTAAAAACTAAAACTCTTATCGTATGATTTTGTAATGTGCCTTTTTTCCTTTACCGATCTTTTATATAATTCCCTTAAGAATATGAAATAGCATCACTACTATCTTTTTAAACGATGCATTCTTCAATTAATGAATAACTTTCTAACTGTGGGGGCCTTTAAAATCCTTTCCAGTATTCTGCTAATATAAAACAGACGGTGATGAGCAGCTCCTCGAAGTCATATCTATGTGCACGTCTTCTCCATAAGACAGCTTCGTAGTGGAGGAATGGCCGGATCAAGGGGGACTCATCTCACAGATGAGGACTCCTTAACTCTGGGTTGCAAGGATTAGCTGCTTCCCTACCGACACCTGGTTTGAAGGGGCTCTGCCCTCCCTCTGCAGCTGGCGGCAGCAGCCCCGCGTGGAGAGTCTCCAGGGCCAGGGCGGCCGCTAGGAGAGAAGCCCCGTGAAGAAGCATTGGTTGGGAGAGGACGCTGTAAGGCACCTCTGCTCAGCCGTCTCTGTGGAGCCGTGTCCCCCTGAGCACCTCATGCCATGCTTATTGTGCAAATCAGACGCAGGGCAGACAGAGAATTTACTCAAGGCCACACAGCAGGCAATGGTCACCGGACTGCAAACTGGGTTAAGATGCTGTGTGACGCATGTGCACATGGAGGGGGTGACTGTTGTGTCTTGGAAAGAGCTCTGTCTTTTGGCCCAAGAGTGCAGGGTTTATTTTCGGGTACTCAAAATGTTCTAAAATTGTGGCGATGGCTGCATAAGTCTGAATGTACTGAACACCACGGAATTATAGACTTTAAATGGGTAGATTTTATGGCATGTGAATCGTGTCTCAATAAAGCTTTTTGGAAAGAAGAAATGCCACCATTCTTGCTAAAAGAAGCCCCAGGTTTAGATTCTGCCTTCGCAGCAGTCAAGCTGTGTGACTTTGGACAAGTTGCTCCTGTTTCCTTAGAGATAGGAAGGGGATAATAACAGCTACTTCTCAAGACTGTCAGTAACCTTAATTAAGGTCATGTAAGCAAAGCGCTCGACACCCAGCAAGTGGGTGCTATTATCACTCCAACACTAACGAAGACAGGAATGTGAGGCTCATGTGCGCAGTGGGACACTGAGCCCCTGGCGGCAGGAGTCTTGGGATCGGGGACTCCCAGCACCCATAAGCCGAGGGCCCTTCTGGCTCCATTCTCCGCCCCGCCCCATTTCTGGAATGTGCTCTCCCTTCCAGATTGAAGACTAGGGTGTGGAAAGTTGTCACCTGCAGGGAGCTGACAGTGTCTGGGATTGTTGGAGGGGGTGGAGGCCAGGTCCAGGTTCCGAGAACCAACGGGCTGGAGGGCTACCCTGTGCAGAAGGGGAGGGCTCTGCTCCTCCTGCCATTTCCTGTGTGAAGTGCAAAACTGCTTATTTGCTCACTGAATTGCTGGCTGGTGCTCATGCTGGGGTCCCTACTGTCCTCGCCAGGCCAAGTGCAGCTTCCTCTTCTCACTTCTTATCATCTGCTTTGCAGCAGCTGAACTTTCAATGCAAAGTCATTTCAATTCCACTTTCCCTTCCCTCTGCCCCGCACCGATGCCACCCTGCCCGGGCTTTCTCCATGGATGGCTTCATGCACTTGCTCTTCCTCCTCTCACAGGCACCCTCAGTCTCAGGCACCTGGGTGCCGTGGGCATCAGCCTGCACTGCCGATTAGACTCACCTGGTGCCCTTCAGACGCCTCTGCTGCTTGGTCCCACGCTACAATATTCCAGCTCGATTGGGCTGGCAGGGAACCCGGCCACTGGTAACTTTTAATAGCATCCCAGTTGATTCTAACAGGTGACCAGGGTTAAGAATCACAAACTAGCCCCTGGCCCTTCGCTTGGGCGCAGCAGCAGCTCCCTGGCTATTAGCCTTCTTGCCACCGCCTCTGGCAGGCGCTCCTGCCTCCCTGGACGGACACACGGAGCCGCCCTGCCTTGTCGTTCTCTACAGAAGTCAGCAAAAACCACCTTCCACCTTGGATCGGAAACAAGGGCTCTTCATCCCTAAGTTCATTATTTCCAGCCGTTTCCTGCCATGCAACTACTTCTTCAGGGCATCGTGGCTTAGAATTGTCTCTCTAATTGGAAGACCCACTGCACTCCCGTGGGCCTCACCTTCCCGGCTCCACACCTAGCTCGCCTCTTTGTCGTCCACCTGGAATGACTACCTTTTTCTTTGGCAACACCTGTTCCCTCCTCCTGATTAATGCTGCCTTTAGCCAGGTTCTTCACTCAGCCCCACATTCCCATAACCACAGAAGAGACTGTTTCAGGCAGGCAGACTGTGTATCAGCTGTCTATTTCCACGTGTGGCTTCCAGCTGCCACAGGACAGGAGCCTCCCCTGAGGCAGGAGGGATGCATTGGTTTTCCTTTCAAGCTCCCCCAAGGCTGAGGTCAGGGCTGGGGACATTCTGTAAATGCTATTCCCCAACTTGCTAAATAGCACCCCTATTGAGATGGAGGAAATTAGGGAGTAAAGACTTACCTAGAATCCTCAAATCAAATGTTTCGGTAAATATTTCTTTTCCATCCATATTATATACGACTACCTTGTAGATAGAACTATCATTTCTCTGCAGATGTCTAATTTTCAGAGTTCCATTTTTTGACAATTGGTACGTGTTATTTTGCAGGAAACGTATCTTGTCTTCTCTGAACCGTGCAACCTTGATCTGATTTCTGAACCATTGTATGTCATCTACTTTGCTATCCGGTGGAAACACAGGAATGGGCAGGTTGATGTCTTGATTCAGGATCCCCTGGACCTGAGTGAGGGCTGTACCTGTAAAAAGCAAGATGGTTACTGAGGTCTTGAGACTCACTGCCAGGGAAAGCTGGGCGGTGACCTCTGAGACTCTCCAGTTACTTCAGAGTCTCCAAAGAAGCTTCTCACGGCGGCAGTGGAGGCCCACACACCAACTTACCTTTGGGAGAAAGGATGAAAATCAGAAGGAAGCTGGCTAGGGTTTTACATGCAAGGCTCATCTTTGGGGTTAGTTCCCTTATTGTGATTCTGAGCTCTCGCAAAAGGAACTAAAGTAAGACTGATGAAATCCACCCCCGAGAGCTTAACCACGTGTCTTTTTTTTTTTTTTTTTTGCTTCTTTTACAGTAACATAGAGAGTGCATGCACACACATGCATGCACACATCAAACCACCCCTGCTGATGTGCTCCTTTGCCAAAACAGGTATACATAGGAGTGTGTGTTTTCTTCTCTCATTTTAATTCTCACAACCACCTTGGGTGGGTTTTATTATCTCCATCGAAGAGACAGAAGCTGAGAGGCTCAGTAAATCACTCAGGATCACCCTTTATTAAGGAGCCAAATTCTACCACAGGGCCTGGCTTCTATTCACCCTGCTGTAATACCTCTGACAACACCACACAGAAATAGACTTGAGTATCCAAAAGTGAATCGCGGAACACAACTACTTCTCCTATGATTATAAACATTGGAGACAGAATACATATGAAAATAATTATAAAAGTGGATTTTTTTTCTCTTTCTAAAAAGGTGCTTATGAGTTCTAAAATTGTTTTGTGATGAAAAAGAAACAAATACCAATTGAGTCTCAGCTATAAATGCTTGAAATACCCAAATCTTGTATTTAGCATCCATTTTTATAACTCAATCGGAAAGTCACAGCTAGATAAATAAAAACATGTTCCAAAAGGAACAAAAACACATAGAAACTATAAAATGCTCTTAAACCACCGGGAAAAATCATTCAAAAATCATTTAAGATGGTTAACATTACCGATAGTTAAAGAAAGGAAGAGGTAAGGAGAGAAAGAGAAGGCCTGGGAGGACTTGGAAGGAGCGAGAAAAAGAAAATGGGCGGCACAGGGTGAGCAGCGGCACTGAGTGCGCAGCCGGAGGCGCGGAGAGAGCGGGCGCAGACACGAGGCGCAGCTGAAGACAGAGCCCCGGGTGAATTTCCAGTGTTAGGGTTCTTTAGGATAGAAAGAGTAAAAACCTTAAAAACCGCGCTTGTTTTCTGTTTCAGCTTTAGGCACAAATATAGGTATTCTCTCCAAGATGTTGCCCAGGAAATGAAATTAAATCAAGAAATGAATTTCCACCACTGGGTCAAAGGGAGCCTGAATAGAAGATTTACCTCGTGAGTGTGTGACAAGTCCCTAACTCACATCGTCCACAGAAATAAAATATAATTGGATTAAATATTTGGATGTTAAAAAAACTATACTAGTGTTAAAAAATATAGAAAGACATTTTCATATCTTTGCCTATGGAAGGGCTGCCTACAGATACTATATGATCCAAAAGTAATAAAAGAAAAGATGGAGACAATTGACTACATAAAATATAACATTTATGTGTAAGCAAAGAGAAAATGAAAAGACATGACAGGACATTGTTGAAATAAATTTGAAAAATTATTAATACCCAAGATATGTATTATTCCTGTCAATTCATAAGAAAAAGAAAACTTAGTTTTTAAAATGGGTAAAGAATATAAATGAGCAGTTCATAGGAGAAATACTTTGTAGAAGAAATATCAATAAACATGAGAAGGCACCTCATGTCACCAAATATATATACATACATATATATCATAGCTGCAAAATGTCATTTTCACCATCAGATTGGCAAAATTATAAAAAATAATAATTTACATTCTTTACAAAAATGTAGGGAGAAACGATGACTTTTATACAACATAAGAGGGACTGTAAATCCAAACATCCTGGTAGGGGTGAAATTTGACAATTTCCACCAAACTTTAAAATATATATAGTTTTGACCTCATAATTTTAATCTGAGAAATTTATCTTAGCCAAATATTTGCATAAATGTGTAAAAATTCTGTTTGAGGATTTTTTTGTAGTTTTTTATAACAAGTGGCAAACAACTAAAACGGTATACTCATATTATGAAATATATAACAGTTAAAATAGAATAAAGTAGACCTAAGAGTAAGGATATATGATATGATGTGACATGAGATATGATATATTTAGTGTATTCATGGAAAAACTTCTAGAAGGATTTATGTCAAAATTTCAAGCGTTCTCCTTTCAAGGCTTAGATTTTCAGGTGGCTGAAAGGAAATATTCACTTTTCACTTTATCATCTTCTGTGAAGGTCGAAATTTTGGTAATGAGCACATACTATTTTTATAATGGAAAGGTGTTTTATTTTTGCTTAAGACACCCGTGTTTTTTCAAAGGTAAATGCAGATTCTGAGAGGCCGCCAGCATCTGGCATCCCTGCTGTGAGTGAGTGACCCACCCCAGCCAGCTGGCCAGCTCCGGCCTTTGGTCCGGCCCAGACCACGTGGTGGTGGCCCCTGGAACCTGCCTCAGCTTTGAAGGAAGGTTGCCCGCTTCCTCCCACTTCCCTAAGAGTTTTTCTTGAGTTCTCATGGAGCGGCTTCCTGCCCTTCTTGTTGACACACTAATTCTGCTCCTCTCTCATCTCGTCCAATTGTGAGTGATGCCCTCGGCTTCCGGGGATAGCCCGTGGCAAAGGAAGGGGTTGATAGCTGCTACCACGTGACATTTAAGACTTTTATGTGTAAAAGTCATCAAAAACATGAAGAGACCGAGTACTGAAAGGGGGAAGTTATTTGCAAGATCTATGACAAAGGTTAATATCCTTAAAATTAAATTTTTTTTTGTAAATGTAAAAGAAAAGATAGACACCTTGATATTAAAATGGGCCAAAGTCAGAAAAGGAACAGTTCACAAAAGAAGAAATAAAATTGAACAACAAGCTTATGGAAATGTAGCCAATGTACTAATAAAGCAAATGTACATTTTAATATAAATGCATTTTTCATCTTTCATTTTAAAAATGAAAATATACAGTGTTGATGGTGAAAACAGACATTCTTGTATGTAGTCAGTAGAAATGCAAATGGGTGTAGAGTTCCCGGTGGACAATTCGCTAGTGTGAATCAGAAGCAGCAAAGATGCTTATATTTTGACCTAACAAGCAGGAAACAATGATTTCATCTTAAGGAACCAATGAAGGGCTTATAAGCCTTCGTTGTACGTTTATAGACTTGCCTTTTTAACACGTTGGGATCGGAAAGAATTTAAGTGTCCAAGAGGAGAAAAGTGGTTAAGCACATCAGGATATGACAAACTGAACATGGGGGAAAAAGGTCACAAAAAACAATGTCGTCCTATTTTTATTTCCCCAAAAGAATGTATTGGGCTGTGTCCTTTGGAAGGCGGCGCTGGCCGTGTGGTGGGATCACGGTTCTTGTTCTGCTGTACTGGGTCCTCGTGGCTGTTCTACTATTTCTAAATTGAATGTATGTTGTTGTTGTTGTTGTTGTTTTTAGAGAGAGGGGAAGGGGGTTAGAAAGAGAGGGAGAGAAACATCCATGTGTGGTTGCCTCTGGTGTGTGTGCCCTGCCTGAGAATTGAACCGGCAACCCTTTGGTTCACAGACTGGTGTTCAATCCACTGAGCCTCACCGGCCAGGGCCGTATATTGCTTTTCAGTGAATTTATTTTTCACTCTCAGGGGCCTCCCACTTAGGCAAAAGCTCCCAGGACTGAGGTTGGGTGCAGTCCCTGCCTTCCTGTGTGAAGTTCTAGGGAAAATCTGGTCCAGGACTCATTTCAGTTTCTCCATCATCATCCTCACTGCAGGCTGGAGGTTGTCTTCTGGCTCTGTCTTCATTGATTCTTTTCTGTACCCAAACTAACACTCCTGGGAAATAGACTAAAGGAAAGCCAGTAGGAATGGAGGAGGAGGAAGAAGAGGAAGAAAACATTCTCAGAGGCCTGGCTTTAGGACCAGCTCTTGTCTCTGACCAGTAAAATACCTTTGGTGCTGACACCCATCTCCCTCTGCATCGAGGTCAAGCACCAGTGAGTATGTCATGTTAACGCTGTAGCCATTCACACCCGACTCAAAGTCTTGAAATGTAAGATTTTAGAGCAGAAAGTCAACAAGCAATTTGGTATCCTCTCTGCATTTCAGTTGACCCAGGAAGGGTCTGGGGTGTGCCTGTCCCCCTCATCCAAGCCAGCAGCCTAAACCCCAGCCTTGGGGACCTGTGCCCCAAGCTCTGAGATGCTGCCTGCTTCCTGTGGAGACCTCACACTGTCCTGCCTCCCACACTTCATGTGCCCCCTCAACATAGGAATTGCCAGGTCCTGCTCTCCTACCCACACAACATCCTCCTCCTCCCTTGCGAGCCCTGTTAGACTTTCCCACAAGCTTGGGCGGGGGGGGGGGGGGGAACAGGGAGAAAGGGGTGAGCATGTAGCCTTTTGTAAAACTAGAAACTGAGTCTGCCACAGCTCCAGCGATGACCAGCGAGGCCACGCCATATGTCTATCTGCAACCTGGCCCCGGCGATGTCCTGCTTGGTTGTGCCTGAACGGTCACGTCAACATCAGCTCCAAGTCACAGCCATTTCCACTGCCAGGCAATGAGTGGGTGTTTTCCCCGAGGTGGCCTCACGCAGCCAGCCACCAGCACACATCCCTTGGCGGGGGACCTGCCTCTGAGAGCTCACTCCTCTGCGAGGTGTCACCTCCTCTGGGGCAAACACTGAATCTTCTTTTCCTTTTGTGTTTCTCACCCACACAGCAGGGAAGACAGAATCGACCCACGGAAACAGTTCCTGTGTGAGGTCTGCGTTCCCAACATGACAGTTACCCAGCTGGGAAGTCCCCCACGTTAATGCCTCTACGGAAGAATATGTGACCATCCATCACCAGTGGTATAATCACAGGATTATAAAGAAGAGACCTATGAGCCAAACAGGCCAGGCCACACTGTGTGCTAGGTGCCTGGATACAGGCACGCAGCCGTTGAGTCTCAGTTTTCACATTTGTAAAAGAGGACTTCATTCTTAACCTATTGCGAGAGTCACATGAGGTGACATGTGTCCAGTGTCTAGGGCATGCCTGGCCCTTTAGGAGACTCTCAACAAACATCAGCTTTCTTCCCTGTTTACCACTACTGTTATATGTCACTTAATGACAGAGGTACATTCTAAGAAATGCGTCGTTTAAGAAATGTGTTGCTA